TATACAGCCTTTCAGGGATCCAAGTTCTTTTAAAGATAGCAAACAAACTTCCTGTTTTTAGCTTTTAAAAAATAAGACTTTAAAAACCAACGAAAAGACTTAAAAAGAGTGTTGGGCATCAAGTTGCTTTTTAAATCCAATCTTCTGATAAGTGTAAATGAAAGTAGAAGAAATTGGATTTCTCCAAAAAACTATTGATGGACTCAACACATTCAGAAAAGAATCTGAAAAAATTGTGTCTTGGTGAATTATAAAATTCTTTAAAAATAACTATGGCAAGTGTCATTCAACAGAGCAAATTAGGATTATATCAGATATGTTGGCATGCAGGGAATATTCTACTAGCATAAGCAGTGCATGGTCTTAGTAAATTCAGTTAGGAATTTTGCTAATTATATCATAGATTTGCTTTACTAGGAATAACATAAACTATTAACCAAATTAATTAGCATTTCATCCCTGTAGCTATTAGCAGCTGAGGTAATAATGTGAGTATCATTCATGAACTTTGCCCTGTGCCAAGGAATTTGTCTATAATTTTTTGAGAAATAAGCATCTTTCACAAATAATTATGGTGCACTATCTGGCACAAACAAATTTTTGGCCACAAAGAGATAGTGGTCAGCTACAAACAAATAGTGGTCAGGAAAGTTCAGACACAGATAATTGCCAACAATTTCCAGATAACCACTTGCTGGTTGAAAGGTAGTGTCTCCATTACAAAAACCTCGTATTTCTCTCTCCAGGAATTTAACCAACAGGGCAAGAATGGAGTGTTCGATTGAAGAATCAGTTGACAGATGTAACCCCTAGGGACCAGTTGTTCAGTTGATCCTGTCAACTTGGACAGAAGACAGCAGTTCAGAAATGCATTTGAGCTCATAGTTTGGTCTGGTTCTGCCATTCACTCAGATTTATGAGCTGTTTATAACAATATTCAGCCTTTCTTTGGTTGCTGACATGCTCACATTAACCATAATGGCCCCAACTTCCAGTTGGTTCACCTCTTGGCATGTGTACCCAAAACACACTGAACTGCATTGGAATAAATGTATAAAGCAAAGTATGCAACCACGAGAGCCGCTTTCTCATGGTATGTTGGACTCAGATTTGGTTGAATTTATGTGGTACGATCAGTTTGGAAACAATCTTTTAAATTCCCTTTAACTGGGTATATCAGAACAATTTCCTGTCAACTAATAAAATGTTTTGGTGTTTGGTTTTCAACACATTTTAGTACAACTATCCAGAGAGAAATTCTTCAGTTGAATACATCTGAGAGGTAAATTGTTCAATTGATCTGAGTGATAAAATGAGTAATTCTAAAAAGACCAATATAGCTAAATGACAGGAAGAGTACAAAAATATTTAAAATAAAAGTAAAAATACTTCAGAGGGGAATAAATTTTAAGGAGTTAAGGCTAATTGATTTTTCATGAACTACGTTTTCTGTTTTGGAACCTGAGACAGGCATGAAATAGCTTTTCTATTATGAATATTATCTTTTCATTTTCATTATTTTACTAGCTAACATTCTGTTTTAGTTTTTAACAATTTAATTACAAAAGAGTTGTAACATATAGAAAATACGTATCCATTGCCCAAATTTTACACTGCTAATGTTTTATTAATATTTATATCTGATCTTTCTAAAGAAATAAAATGTTTCAGTGACCGCCGAAACACCTTTCTCCTTCCCATTTCTTCTTCCTCTCCCCAGGAGTGAGCACATCCAAGATGTTGGTATACATTCTTCCTATTATGTTTTAGCACACTTCCTTCATGTAAATGAACTGTTGTGAGTGTTTTAAAACTTTACATAAGGGGCCGGGGGTATAGCTCAGCATCACAGTGCCTGCCTGGCAAGTGCGAGGTCAAGAGTTTGATTCCCGGTACCAAAAAAAAAAAAGACTTTACATACGTAATGACAAACAGTGAATATCTTTGTGCAGGTTGGCTTTTTCTGTGCATTATTTTTGTTTGTTTTGTTTTCCAGAGACAAGGTTTCATTAGCTAGCGCCTCACTATGTAGTCTAGACTTGCCTTGAACTCATTATGTAACCCAGGCTGGCCTCACACTCAGGATCCTTCTGCCTAAGCCTCCCGAGTGTGGTATTTAAGGTGTGTGCCACCACACACGCCATCTTATACCTGAGCTTTATGCATTTGTATAAGGTAGGCCCAGTTTGTCATTTTAACTGCCAGGTAACATTCTGTTCTGTAAATAAACCATCTTTTTAAAAATTCATTTCTGTGCAAATACACTGCAAGGGTGTACCTGCCTTCTACAGAACAGTTGAACAGAACGGTTCTGTTCAAGTCTCCCTAATCTATAAGGATTTGTGGTAACAGACTGCCACTGATAGTTCTCCAAAGTGGCCTCTTAGTTTATATTCTCACCAGCCGTGGCCTTAAGTTCTTCTTTCTCCATAACCTAATAGATGTGCCTGCTGTTGGTGGTGTAGTTTGCATTGAATGACCTTGAACATCTCAAAAGGTGAGTTAGGGCCAAAAGCGGTTACCTCTAGAGATCAGAAAATGAGAGTGGGAATGCCCTGTTTTTCATAAGCTTCAAAGAGCGTCTGACTCTTCAACATTTAAAAAAATTTTACTAGCACATGACAATGGTACACAATGGTTACCTTCATTGTTGGGAGTTGGTACATGTACACAGCACATCTTAATTCTTTGTGCGTCCCCATCTGACTCTTTAAAAGTTGCATGTATAGATCTGATACAAGTAAAAACTAAGTTAACGAGTGTGAGACCCTGTCAGCGGTCTGCCGAAGCCTTTCTGAGCTCTCCCCACATCCACTGCAGTCTGTGCACTGGGCTCCTCATCTTACTCAGATGCTCTGGACTTTTGCATTTGAGTTTTCTCAGTTTACAGCATTTTCTCTCTGGATATGTTCATGGCTTGCTTGTATGGTTCCTTTGGATCCCTGCCCAAATGGTACCTTCTCAGCAAGTCTTAGCACTCCCTTCTCCTGTGTCCTCTGCTTTTCCGCATGCCACCATTGTCTGTTGTTTCACTGCTTCTTTCCCTTTCTAGGCTCTTTCATCTTTGCTTCTCTATCATGAACACCTCAAACAGAGCCTGGAATATCCTGAGCCACCAATGCATAGTCATCAAATGAGTAGGACAAATATATAGCAATGTACAAACGAATTCACTGAAGAGAAAAAACAAGTGGGTAACAGTTAACTCAGTCTCCCAGATTATCAACAAATGCAAATTAAAGCATTGATAATAATTTTTTCCTGCCAAATCAGCAAGAAATAAAAGTGGATAATGATATCCCTGGCAAGGGTTGAATAGGAAATTGGGAAGGGAATTTAATATGCAGATACTCCCACATGGGCACAGACAGGCACGTGTGAAGCCACAGCTGCAGCCCCATTCCTAGCCATGAAACATTAGAAACAACTGAGCTGCCATTGTTAGATTACAAAACACACATACTTCTTAAAACTCAGCAGCAAGTCCAAAACAAGGAGGGGCAGCTATATGTTCCATATTGTGGTACCATTTGTATCTCTCAAAACACAAGTTTACATTTCTGTATTTTTGATTATATATGAAAATGCCTACAATAAGAGCTTACAGTATGTAGCTAGAAGTTCCTTTTTTTTTTTAAGGAAATTAACAATGATTGTTGTAATATGTATTGATATCTTCAAAGTGGTTTCTCAGTTCTCTTTTGTTCTTTTTTTTTTTTTTTTTTTGGTACTGAGCATTGAACTCATGACCTTGCACTTGCCAGACAGGCGCTATACCACTGAGCTATATCCCCAGCCAGAAGTTTATTTTTATTAATCTCTAGACATTCATGTAACGTGTTTCTTGGTTGCACAGTATGCGTAAGTAGTTGCTGGGTGCTGGGAAAAGGGCTGTGAAAAAGGGACCTGTCCTTGAAAGTCTTCTGTGCTAGCCGAAGACACCGTCCCTGAGCAATACAGAGGTGCCACATCACAGGTCAGCGGGTGGGACACATAAACAGAAAAGTGACAAAGGGCCAGTGGGGGCTCACAGGCCTGCTTTCTGTAGAATGAACATGTCTGTGGGTTTTTGCCGTCAGATACAGTCACCACTGCCCTTGTGTGGCTGGTGAGCACTTGAAATGTGACTAGGGTAACGGGGGTGCTGGATTTTTAATTTACTTGGATTTAACTCATTTAGATTTAGATTGCCACATGTAAGAGACAGTGCACTGATAGGGTATAGTCAAGGAAGATCTTACTTAGGAAGTGATGTTTTAACTGAGCCTTGTACAAAGCAGGTGAGCCAGCCATGTGTTCCAGGTAGGATGAACAGCAGGGCCTACTCTGAGCAGCTGTAGGCAGAAAGAACAAAGGTAAGAGTAGGAGAGGAAGTTGGGGGAACGAGGAGATCCATCAGGGAAGGCCAGCATGGCTGCTATATGACTTTGCTTTTTCTCTAGGGGAGGAAGGACACCATGGCAAAGCTGTGAGCAGACAGGTGGCTCGCTGTGGAGCTGCAAGGGTTGCAGGAGCTGTGCTGATGATAAGCAGCAGGCGTGAGGGCAAAGGCAGGGAGACGGTCAGCAGACTGCGTACTCCCTGACAGGTGGAGATGGAGGTAGCGGTGGAGGTGTTGAGAAGAGGTCAGGCAAGTTGACAGTACTGGGTCACATGAGGAAGAGAGGAACCAGGCCCCAGCTTCATTTAGGGAGCTCTGGGGTTAGGATACTTGGAAAAGGAATTCAGGAGTTCTGGTGGCGGCATGGCCAGTTGGCGGCATCTGTGGATAGTTGTGCCAAACAAAATCCTGATAGCAAGTGACACTAGAATGGGGAGGGCAGCTAAAGGGTTTCTTCCTGAAGAACTAACAGAAGAGGAGTTGATAGATGGTGTTAGGGAAGTTCTGTCTGTGTTCAGGCCAAAACCCGTCAGTGAACTTTTCAGCATGAAGATTTTATATGACTTTAGTTACATGTGGCTCTCAGATTAGAGTATTTCTTGTTTTATTTCTTGCGTAGGATGGCTCCTGAACAAGTGGCATCTTTATCACAAGTTTGTGCCCCCCTTGTTACCCTGCCTGATTTTGAACCTCTGGTGGAGGCCCTGCTCATCTACCATGGACATGAACCTCAGGAAGTCCTCTGTCCTGCATTTTTTGAAGCTGTAAATGAGGCCTTTTTGCTGTAAGTGATGTCCTTTCATTCTGTCATCCAGCTTTGTTTTCTCTTGTCTTAGAAAATATTTTGGTGTGTTAGAAATGTTATACAAATATGATAGCAGTTTTCAAATGTTTTGGTCTCAGTACCCCTCTTTACTCTTTAAAATTATTGAGGGCCCAAATAACTTTTTTAAAAAATGGCTTATACCTATCAATATATGTCACATTTACATTTAAAACAAATTTTAAAGTACTTACTGAATTGGAGGCATAAGTGCAGTTCACTGACAGAGCTTAACTAGCATGCAAGATACCCTGGAGTCTATCCTTAGCACCACAAAAGAAATCTTATTTTTAAAAAATTGATTATATGTAACACAAATATCATTTTTTATGAAGAAACATGATCTTTTCCAAGACAGAAAAATGGCAAGCATGCCTGTAGTCCCAGCACTTTGGAGGCTGAAGCAGGAGGATTGAGAGTTTGAAGCTAATTTAGGCTAGATCCCATAGCAAGATCCCATTTCCAAAAAAAGCTGTATGGCAAGAGTGGCATTGTTTTTACATTTCAAGATTTCATTGTGTGGGGGCTGGGGATTTAGCTCAGCAGCACAGCGCCTGCCTGGCAAGCGTGAGGTTTTGAGTTCGATTCCCAGTACCAGAAAAAACCCAGAAGGGAAAAAAAAAAAAAAAAAGATTTCATTGTGTGGCTTGACAGCTGGATTTTTATATCTGCCTCTGTATTCAGTCTGGTAGGATGTGTTGGTTTTTGTTTGTTTGTTTGTTTTTCTTCCCGTACCAGGAATCAAACTCACGACCTTGCGCTTGCTGGGCAGGCACTGTGCCGCTGAGCTAAATCCCCAGCCCCAGGATGTGTTGTTTTGGCTGAAATGTATAAAGAAAATCCAGCCCCACATATATAAATAGTTGGCAAAGGTAGATGGCTACTGTAATAGCCATCTCAGATAGTTGTGGATACTCTGCTTTGATGCCTCACCAAGGTTTGAAAATAGTTACATTTTTTTTTAAGATTAGTAACAGTGTAGAATCTAAAATTCTATTAATCGGGGCTGGGGATTTAGCTCAGCGGCACAGCGCGTGCCTGGCAAGCGCAAGATCATGACTTTGATCCCTGGTACTGGAAAAAAAACAAAAACCACAAAAAAAAAAAAAACCTCTATTAGTGAACTTTTCATACTCTGGTACATTAAAATGCATTGGTCATACACTGTCTTGGATCTTTTGCAAGATTTTATAGTGCCATGCATGGTTTGTTTGGCAAACCTTGGCTTATTGAATTCTGTAGATCTTTCATACACTGACATACTCCTTGTACAGCGTAAATACTTAATTACCATCACTATCACAACTGATCTGATTAGCAATGCCTTTAACTCTTGGAAAGCTGTCAGCTCATGTTGACAGACACAGATTTTCCAAGATTCTAATTTCTACTTAACAGCTTAAATTTATCCTGAGCCACAAATTCTGTCGTTTGTTTTTCTTACGCTGGTAGGGTCATTGTGCTAGTTTTTTGGGAAGTACGTGCCAAATAGTCAAGTGTGAGTAACTGTTGTTTGCTAGTCATCTTCCAAGTGCATTTCCATGAACCTTAAATTTCCAGACTTGACACAGGCATAGGAATGCTTTTCTGCAGACAACCATCATTTTGTGTCATGGAGCAGAAGTGCTTTGTATATACTGTACTTTATCTTTTACTGTGTAGATTTTTAAGTTTCTTAAGGGTAACAGTTCAGTGAAGTCAATAACAGCTATACTGTTTCATCAGAGCTTGTTAGGTGACTAGGTCTACTTTTCCTATGAGGTTGTGGCAGTGAGGAATACAGGCAAGGACAGTGACAGCCGGCCCCTGATCTTCCTGAGGTGCAGCAGCTTTACCCACTGTTGCTTTTGCAGTCAGTGTCAATGTCACATAAGTGTCACAGGAAGAACCATGAGATTCTCAGTGTTCAACACTTAAAATTTTTGAAGTTCAACACTTTAAATTTCTGTCCGCCTGAGGTATGGCCATGTTCCACAGAAAAATCTCCCATCCAGAGAAATAGGCCAGTCAGGCCTAGAGATTTTACTGTAAGTGCATTTCTCTTGGCAAGATATTAATGGGTCATATCTACTTTTAAATCATTTATTTCCTTTTTGTTTAGATTCTGAATGGCTTCACATTGATGCTGCAATTAACTAGTCCCATAGCAGTGTCTGAAGCATTCTGTTGTGTAAGACACAAAAGGTAAATTATTAACGTCTATAAAGCCAAGGGAACGACAGCTTTCCTCCTGTCTGCTTTTGTTTAGAGCTCAGCTCACCAAGCTGGAATAGATGTCCCTCTCTTTTGTGTGTCTGTTGCATCTTTTCCCGGTGTAACAGCTGTTGTGTCAGAGAGTGAATGTGTTAATTCTCCTTCCTACAGCCAGCAGTCCATTCTTACCTTTAAGAAAATCTAAATAAATTTAGTCTTTAAATAAAATGTTAGTAAATTTTAAATTAAACAATGTATTAGGATATATGGATATAAAATGTAAATTATATAAATCCAATGTTTTATACAGAGTCCACCAAAAAAATGTATTCACACTTTAGGAAAAGAAAACCTTGTATAATGTGCATGTTCTCCTGCTTTAACATCTGCAGACTTTTATCTGGGGGGACCCTAAAGGATGTCATATTTTGCAGAAAACCTACTACACTGCCAGCCCTTAGAGAAGAAATTGAAAATGCAGTGCAGCAATCTCACTGGACCCTTTAGCCAAGGTTACCCAAGGAGCAGTTCACCATAATAAATGTCTAGAAGCTAATCGCCACTTTGAGCACCTCTTTGAGCACCTCTTGTAATTGTAGAAGCCAAAGATAACTTGTATTAATGTCATAATGCCTAACAAATTTAGTATTAAAATATTTATACAAGTTTTTCTTTGCCTGAAGTGTGTATACATTTTTGGTGGACTCTGTATAAAACATTTATATATAATATAAAAAAATCTAAAATTTAGATTAAAATGTTTTAATTTAGAAAAGCTTTCAAAAGTTTTTTTAAAATGTTACTACAGAAAACCTCAGCAGGGGCTGGGGATTTAGCTCAGCGGCAAAAGCGCCTGCCTGGCAAGCACAAGGTCGTGAGTTCGGTTCCCGGTACTGGAGAAAAACCAAAAAAAAAAAAAAAAAAAAAAAACCTCAGCAAAGTACTTGTATTTTGCTGTATTCCACAAGGGGAAATATTAGAGTTCTTTTTTAATATTGTTTGTTTGTTTATTTGTTGCAGTACTAGGGATTGTACCCAGGGCTTCATATATGGAAAGCAAGTGCTCTACCACTGAGCTACATTCTTAGATATTTTTATTTTTTAGTCTGACACAGAGTCTTGCTGAGTTACCCAGGCTGGCCTCAAATTTGTGACCCTCCTGCCTCAGCCTCCCAATTAGCTGAGATTACAGGCATACCCAGCCTAAATTACTGATTTTTTTATGTGGAAGTAATATCAAGTATAACCATTGATAGCAAGAGCATAGTAGACAAAAAGAGAATAAATCTAATCTCTGAAATTATGCATATTTACATCCTAAATATTACTTATCTTTAAAATTCCTTGAGGCAGTAAAAATATACAAGCATATTTTTCATTGAGTATCAGAGAAATAACATCAGATGTCATATAGCCTTTGCATGATTAGACGTACACTTATAAACATGAGAGGATAAAAGGTAAAAGCCTTCGTAGTATATTTATGAAAATGGTTTTGGCCACAGAATCTCTGAGCAGGTCTCTGTTCCTCACAGGGGTTCCATGGATCCCACTCAGAGGATGGTAGTAGTTACTCTTTCTGCAGTGTTTAAAACATGGTTTGTTGCTTCATGGCAATTCCACCTTAATTGCCAGATTGTACTTCGTCTCAAAAATGAGATTCAAATCATTCATGTTTTTAAATTCAAGGTAGAGGGCTGGGTATGGTGGCACACACCTGTAATCCCAGTACTTGGGAGGCTGAGGCACAAGGATTGCCTAGAATTTCAGGCCAGCCTGGGCTACATAATGAACTCAAGGATAGCCTGAGCTACACAGTGAAATCCTGTCTCAATAAAATAAGTTAAATTAAATTAAATTTTAAAAATAAAGGTAAAAAGTTGATAGGATATTTATTTAAAAAATTGTATTATACATGTTGATGGGTTACAGTGTGATAACTGATATATATGTGTGTGTATGTATAATGTGTAATGATCATTGATGATATTTTAAAATACTACTGAGCCTTAAATTTTGTTAAAAATATTACAGTTTTTAAAAGTTGTGTTAATATTTACATTTCTCAGCTGAGCATGGGTGGCACATGCCTATAATCCCAACAGTCTGGGAGGCTGAGGCAGGAGGATTGCAAGTTCAAGTCTAGCCTAGGCAACCTGGCTATTTAGTAAGACCCTGTCTCAATTTTTTTCAATTCTCTGTTATTTAAATAGTTTTAGAAAGAAATTAGAAAGTCATTACGTATACAGACCCTTCTTTATGATAAAGTACATTTTTACAAAGGTAGTTATAGCCAGGCATGGTGGCACAGGCCTGTAATCCCAGCACTCTTGGAGGCTCAGACAGGAGGCTCACAATTGCAAACCCAGCCTAGGCAACTTAGCAACCTGGCAAGACCCTGCCTCAAGATAAAAAAAAATCAAAGAAAGGACTGGGGGTGTAGCTCAGTGTGAACTCCCTGGATTCAGTCCCCCGTACTGAAAAAAAAAAAAAAAAAAGATGTAGCTACAATACCATTGTTACATCTAACAATATGACACTAGTTTCTTATTATCATTTCATATCTGGTTGTCTTACAAGAGTGGTTTTGCAGTTATTTGTTGAAATGAGAGAGTTGGTTTTTTTCACTCTCAGGTAATGGAATATTTTATTTCAGCTGTCTTGAATGTGATGAAAGACACAAGCACCACCACGCCACTGGAGCTCCCCTGCAGACTTCAGATGCTCCCTTAATCATATACTCAGTTTTTATATGCAGTTGGCCTATA